AGTGTGTGTGTGTGTGTGTGTGTGTGTGTGTGTGTGTGTGTGTGTGTGTGTGTGTGTGTGTGTGTGTGTGTGTGTGTGTGTGTGTGTGTGTGTGTTAGCAGGTATCTGTGCATGAGTGAGTGTGTGTGTGTGTGTTTGTAAGGTAAGAATTGTAGAATTTAAGAATTGTGAATTTGTTATGTGCAATATATCCTTTGCTTTTGTTGGAAATTGCTGGAAATTTTTTAAATTAGTAGAAGTCAGAGATTTTTAATGTGGCAAGGAACAACTGAGTTTCCAAGAAAAAAAAACTCTTCTCACATTTTATATATAATATATAAACAAGGATATTATTTTTTGCTCCAGGGTGACATTCCATTCTTTGTTCAAGCCACTGCGGGGTCCACTGTCCTGGGTAGTTTTGATGACCTAAATGCTGTCAGCGCCATCTGTCAGGAACATGGGGTGTGGCTCCACCTGGATGTGAGTTATTTATTTATTTATTTATTTTGAAGGGTGTTGATTATTTGCATTTTAATTATAAGATTTTTATGATTGATTCATTTATCAAATGAACTCTTTCACAAAATCATCACATGGTATCTAGCTTGTTTTCTGCCTTTGTTTTGTTAATATGTAGTAAGTTTAAAATTAGTTAATTGATTAGTCAAATAATAAGCGTTTATTTATTTATATAGGCTGCTTGGGGAGGAGGAGTTCTTTTGTCGAAGACATATAGACATTTAATGTCTGGTATAGAGAAGTGAGCTGTCATTTTTTCTCACATTTATTTCTTTTGACAAGTATGTGCATAATCTACATTTTTCCATACCTATTTAAATGGTTGCTTGGTAAAATTGCTTTTTAAAAAGAAGACTATGATATCAAGTTAATAATATTAACAACCATTTTCTTCCTTAATTTAAGGATAAAGCTTGCATATGAAGTATATAAATTTCAGTTATAGCAATTGCTTCAATTCAAGTCTTAAGACTTCTTATAATTTATAGCATATATAATATTATTTTCTGGAAAAAGTGTTGTTTTAAGCACATATGTTATGTAATGTTCTAGGTGTGACTCAGTTGCTTGGAACCCTCACAAAATGATGGGTGCTAATTTACAGTGTTCAGTTCTACTTACAAAACAAAAGGTATGTTGTATGTGGGGTTTTGGTTGGGGTTTCAAAGCCTTTTTGTAGCTGTACTTTCTGAAGACTGGAGAGGGCAAGGGGAGTATATCCTTGGATAAGGGCCATTCACCTGGATAAGCTCATTCCCCAATGACAGAAAGACATTATTTATTTGTACCTTATTTTATACCAAAAAGAAATAAAAAACAGCAGTTTTGTGTGTGTGTGTGTGTGTGTGTGTGTGTGTGTGTGTGTGTGTGTGTGTGTATTTTTTAAATTTATTTATTTTATTTAAGGGTCTTCTTCTGGAGTCCAATGCTAACAGAGCAGAATATTTGTTCCAACCAGACAAGTTCTATGATACTTCCTTTGACGCAGGTATGGTACTGACTGACAAAAGACAATTCATTTTCCTACAGTTACATAAATTATTTTATGTTGGGTAAAATGCATAATTAAGACGGAAAAATAAAAAGGTTTCTCAGATTGTTAATGTTTTACACTGTCACCTGTGCCACCTATAGCCATGAATGATACACTGTTTATTATGTTTACATTTATTGAATTGCATGAGTTTTTACATAATGTACATACTGTATGGAGCACTCGTATGGATGCAACAATCACACACACATACACATACACACACACACATACACACACACACACTGTATTAATGTCAATACCACCTGTACAATGTTTGTATTATAGGTGACAAGAGTATTCAGTGTGGTAGAAGAGCAGATGCATTCAAGTTGTGGTTGATGTGGAAAGCTAAGGGAGACAAGGCCTTTGAGAATGAAGTGGACAAGGCATATGAGAAGTCTAAGTAAGTGCACTTGTTATTTATTTATTTATTTATTTATTTATTTTTACTAGATTCATTTACAATAGTTCACTTAATTTTCAGTTAATTTTTTGCAGTGAAAAAATTGGTTATTTAAGTCTGTATGCTTCTGAAAACCAGAACCTAAGGAATGATAAGAATTGAAATTAAAAGGTTTTAAACTTGTTGGCACATATGTCAGCTTTGGTTGTTTCGTGTTTTCGTAATGCCCTGTCAATGATGTTTAAAGTGAAGACGTGAAAGAATTATCATTTTGTCACAGATGAGAACTACAAAGCCACTGTTTTAAAATGCAAACTGTATTTATTCTGTATTTATGCAGGCTTTTCATCAAGAAATTGAAGCAGAGAGAAGGATTCCGCTTGGTTCTGGAAAATGTAAATTTATATCACTTATTATAATTCTGTGTTAGTTTTATAACCCATTCCTGTCTTAGTTAAATATTTTTTGTTGGAATTATGACCATTAGCAATTGAAATATTTCCTAGTGATTCTTCATGGATGTCTTAATATTGAAGTTTTATTCTTAACATCTATAATAAGCTTTTTAATTCTGTAGTTATTCACTATGGCCCACTGGCAATATGATGCAATGCAAAAGACCTAACTTTAATGTAATAACCACCTTCATTTTACAGTTCTTGTGGGTTATGAAAAAAAATACATCGAAAAAAATTGATTGTTTTCTGTGGTTTTTCCCCCCAGCCTCAGTGTACCAATGTGTCATTCTGGTACATCCCTCCCAGTATGAGAGGACAAACTGAGGACGAAGAGTGGTGGAAGCGACTCGGTCAGGTAAAAAATACATCCTCAATATGTACAGGGATAAGATTTTTATAACTATCAGCAGATTCACTCTATATGGAACCCAAAAATATCATTGGCCTGGGCGGCCCCCTGGACCCCATGCCGTTTTTCACAAATTTTTCCTCTAAATAGCTGTCTCATCCCTGTGTATAGTGTAGAAAACCATGTTATGTGCTAGATCACCCTTAAAATGATGTAGTTGTGTACAGTACAGTTCTATATATGCCTGCATGTCCAGTTTCTTGGTCTTTTATTGGTGGCATTCAGAACAATTGACTTACTAGTCCGCGGGTCAAATATGGCGACCCACTAAAAGGCTTGCTTTCTAATCCGCTAATAGAGACTAAATAAATTCCCTGTGGGGAAGTATTCAAGTGGCCATGTTTGACCCTCGGATCAGTAAGTCCACTGTTCTGAGTGAGGCCATTGAGATTTTTTTTCCTATGTATTAACAGGTAGCACCCAAGGTAAAGGAGAGGATGACCAAAGCAGGGAACATGTTGATTGGCTTTCAGCCAGTTACCAATAAAGGATGGGTCAATTTCTTCCGTATCATCTTTCGAAACCCCGTTAGCGAGCAGGACCTGGATTTCATCATTGAGGAATTTGAGCGCCTTGGCGGAGACCTGTAACAAGTAGAATTTAGATACAGCTGTGATTGATATTCAGCCCTACTTGATTTGCAGTTACCCAGTATTTCTCATTCAGTGTAGTTGGCCATGCATACTTGTAAGACATAAAAAAATGAAGTGTGCCATAACTACTCTTTTTATCTAATATAGAAACAAAACTTAACATGTTTCCCATCTTTATTAATTTAGTATTACAGATGCTGTATATTTAATTGTTTCAGTGTTTTTTTTTTTGTTTATGCTGAGGAAAGTTTGTGAAGTAGTCTCTGTAAGCATCTGTTATGTGATTTGAAAATGATGTCCATGTTTATTAAGATTATACGCAGTTAAAAGTTAGCAGAGAATTATATTTTGCCTTTATTGCTTACCATCCTTGAATAAATAAGGTGTCTGTTAATTATTTTTATACCAAATGTGAAATCTGTTGCCATTTTATTTTACTTATAAATTCTTTTTTGTTGAGTGTAATTTGCAAGGAATATTTCATTTATCTTGTGCAGTTTTAAACTGAGTAAAGTTTATGAAATTGGTTATTTATTAATTTTATAAAGTATTATTATTGAGTGCCATATTTGATTTTTATTTCCAACTATTTTGTAATGGTTATAAAAAGTATGCAAACAAGTTACCAGCTGCTACTTATTTCATTTACATGGAGGTTACTAATAATGTTATTATTAAGTTTTTTGTTTGAACTTCCATTATGGTTATCAGCATTATCTATTGCAGTTTATTAGTATTTTTTAATACTCAGTGGTCAAGTGTACTAAGTACTGTACAGGGCAATTACAGAGAAAAAAGGAACATACAATCATGAACTGCAGGACTGGGTCATATGATCCAGTCTTTTACGATAATTTTTTAGAATCATACTTGTGGAAATCTATGCAATGACTGATCATGAATTACTACACATGGAAAGTAAATTAAACCCATGGTCATTATTTATACAATAAATATGGGAAATAAAATGAAAAGAATTGAAGTGATTTGACATTCTTTTTCATAATAATTGTAACTTGCTTATATGCCAGTACTATTGAAAAAGTAACAGTACTTTTAATTCAGCTAGTTCAAGTGATTTGTTGTAAGTTCAAGTAAAATTGATTAAAATAGTACAGGAGACGAAGTGCTAAACGCATCGGACACAAACCCCACCCAGTGCCCTCCAAATGTCGGATTGTCTTGTCTTGCTGGTCGCCATCTGTCGGGAGGAAATAACCTGCTGAACGTAAACAAACATGGCGTCGTCCATCAGCAAAGTTCGCAGTGTTTTCAGGCCCGGTTTATTTGCCGGCAAAGTTGCCATTGTTACTGGTGGCAGCACAGGAATAGGGAAAGCAATAACACAAGAACTTCTGAGTCTCGGTAAGTGTGAATTGCATCCAGAAAAGGTTGAAATTGGTCAGCTGCTTTGAGGAAATTAGTAGTCCGCTTTAGACTAATAGTAAAAGTAAGCTTTGCAGTCTCCTCACGCTGGTCCTGCATAATCCGTCACGTCCACCGAAAGGCAAAGATGTATGTCAGCACCCACCATGAGGACAATTTCAATCTAGAGGACAAATATGAGGACACATTGTCAATCATGTCTCTGGTTTATTTAGGATACTGGGACGGGGTCAAAATCTATGAACAGATCCTCTACAGATAACAGATAGTCTGTCCCGGTGTATATATGCTATATAGGTTATAACTGATTCACATATTGCGTACCTCTGGAATATCTCAGATGAAGAAGTTGTCTCCACATTGCAGTCATGATCTGTCATCCAGATACATACAGTATGTCCTGCCAAAATACATGTAGTATGTTTCTTGCCCCAAAGGCATATCCCAGAGGCATATTCTGCTGATCTCTGCGAAATCACCCACCATGTATATCTTGTCATGAACACAGGGGTACATTTGTCTTAGCAGTCAGTGTCACCATGTGTTTTAAGGTGTACAATGTACTTTCGGCAAGGAGTTAGAACTCCTTGCTCTTGGTTAGAATTGGGTACTTTGAGCGCATATTGTGTATTAAATATCTCCAAATTTTGAGGTATGAAGTTTCCTCTCCATTTCAGGCTGTAAAGTAATGATAGCCTCCAGAAATGAGGAGAGGCTGATGAAGATGGCTGATGTGATGAGGTCTCAGTTGCCTTCAGATGGACCAGCCTGGTTAGAGGCCATGCCATGCAACATAAGGAAAGAAGACCAGGTATTGAGATAATATGTGTGGATATGCCATATGGGGTGGGGTGCAAGGGTTGGGTAAGGGTGGTGGTGCATATTGTAAGGCTCATCCACAATCAAAGTTGATCCACATACTAAGGGTGCATTCCCAGAGAATTAGATTGATCCGGAGATTTAGATTGAGACCGACCTAACTCCCTGGGGGTTCATGCTAAATTGCAGTCAGCCGAGCGGGCACCATAGTTAATTACCCCCTTACAGCTTTTAGTAGGCGGGACAGACGCTTAAGCTGGCTAAGCTGACAGTAATCTAGTGAGACTCCCCACAGGGATAGATCGATCTAAAATCTATGGGAATGGGGTCTAACACATCCATGGATCAAATGTGGCCAACCCACTTCAAAGCTTGCTGCATCATCCTGTGGGGAATCTATTCAGTTTCTATTAGTGGGTCAGGCAGCAAGCTTTCAGTTGGGTCTGCCATATTTGAGCCTTGGATCTGTTAGTCAGTGGATCATCCTTTTGTGAATGCAGCCTATGTGACACAATATTATACCCAAGTCAAGCTTTTCAAGGGGCAGCTATGGGAGGGGGAGATTGAGGTTTTGCTTTATAACTGTGATTGAATTTTTTCATATATCTTTTCTTTTGAATAATACAGGGTCCTTTGCTGAAGTGTTTTTAATAGAAGATGCTTTCATATTTTATAGCAATAAGAAAAAAGATGTATTCTTAAAACTATTGTTTTAAATTTGTTTTTAAGGTTCAACATTTAATGAAGGAGACCCTTTCCAAGTATGGCAGGATTGACTACTTAGTAAACAATGGAGGAGGACAGTTTATGTCACCTGCTGAGGACATCCGACTGAAGGGCTGGAATGCAGTGATAGAAACGAATTTAACAGGAACTTTCCTGTGTTGTAAAGAGGGTGAGTGTGCTATACATGATTGCTGAGGGGGGGTGAGGTTGAAATGTTTTTGAGACTGTCCACATTGAATTTTGTTGACCTAGCTTATGTGCAACGACTCCACCAGGACTCGCTGAATGCAATCAAATTAACAGTCTAAGCCTTTTCTTGTTTCCAACAAATTTATATAATCACCAGCTTTTCTGTATTCTTGTCAACACCAGGAAGAGTCATGTTAGTAAGAGTATATTTAAGCTTGGACTACTTCACTAGTGAAAGTATAGGTTACACAGTCATTGTTCTTTCTGCCTTTATTCAGCATATCACCACTGGATGAAGGAGAATGGTGGCAGTATTGTTAACATCATAGTTGACTTGTGGAAAGGATTCCCTAGGATGAGGTTGGTATAACCGTATAATAGCTAAATAAAGATATAAAAATGAATGTTTTGATTCAGCCAGTTATTTTAGCCCACTACCTGGATAACCTTGTGATATGTCTGGAGCTTAATGGCCTCCTTTAAATTTTTAGCTTCTGTATGAGATTAAATAAATTATAATTCCATTGAGCTCTTTGTCTGTGATACATTTGGCTAAGGATTAATACAGTCACAGTGGCTAACAGTGTGATGCCATTGCCTCTTGTATTATTTTATCAAAAGCTAGTTGAGCCAAAGTCATTTAGTTATCAATAAAGTATGGTGTGGAAATTTACAATTTTTTGGTATTTCTCTAAATACATCAGTTATCTTTTCAATCGTACATCTGAATTATCAAAGCTTTTTTAAATGGACAGATTTGATTATTGTTTTATGTTTTTAATTTTTCTAGTTGTATTAACATTCTTAATTAAACTTGCAGTCATTCAGGAGCAGCAAGAGCAGGTATCCTCAACCTCACAAAGAGCTTGGCTGTGGAGTGGGCGGACCATGGGGTTAGAATTAATTGCGTAGCACCAGTGAGTACCTTGGAAAGGGCTTGGCGTACCTGAAGTTGTGGCAGATTTTAGTGCATAGCCTGTAACCTGCAGATGAATATTAGATCCTTCTGTATTAAAATAGTGTGTTTATTATTCATACAATATTTTAAGGCAGAACATTGATATGCCCATAACATAAATGCCTGCAGAAATATTTTAGACCCTTCTGATACTCAAACGTGTATAATATATCAGTTCAATTTTTTCTTAAGGGAAGCTCAATATATTCAGAAACTGCAGCAGCAAACTACAATGATCCTGAGGTGTTCAATGCCATAATACCACTGATACCTGCTAAAAGATTGGGTACCACAGAGGAGGTATGTTTTAAAATGCATCAGTCCAAATTCTTTTATTATTGTTTATTATGGTTTATTTTTAACATGTTCCTCAATCCTGGTTTTCAAAATAAATGCTGTCAAAAAATAAATCAAATTTATGTCCAGTTTCAATTGACAGTGTTTTTTTATTTAAGGTTTTGGTCATTGCATTTCCCTTCTCACTTACCATTATTATAAGAATTGCAAACATAAAGTTTTAGTTTTTCCCTCTGCTCACAGGTGTCAGCAGCAGTGTGTTTCCTGTTGTCTCCAGCAGCAGCATTTATAACAGGGGACACCATTAAAGTGGACGGGGGATCCAACCTGTACAGCTCTGTCTGGGTTATACCAGGTATGGAGAATGATGGATATTTTCTAAAGGACAGACTTGCAGACAGGCAAAGGCAGACAAGCAAACTAATAGATTAACCAGCAGATGGACAGGTGGCCAGACATACATACAGACAGACAAAGACGGGCAGGCAAACAAGCAGATAGACAGAAAGGTGGACGGAAATGGGGACAGACTAACAGACAGACAGACAGACAGAGTAGTGAATTTAGACATCCAGACCAATTGGCATATAAAAAGACAGACAAAGGCACAGACAGGCAGATTAGGATATGCAGTGTATTTACGTCTCATTAAAATAACTCACTTCCATTTGTTTAAATCTACAGCAAAAGCTAGCAATCAAACTGTTCTTTGAAAATCATTACATTTCATGAAATTCATTTTTTTATTTTCAAAGAACAGTTTGCATTCATCAAAAGTGTTATTTTAAACCAGTTTTTCAGAAGGAAAAGGGTGAATAATACTTGTATTACAACATCGCAAGTCAAACATGATAAGAAAGACTTCAACTTTGCATTTTAACTCTTGGAATCCTGTTGGAATTGGTGAAACAGGTAAGAATTTTTGTTTTACATTTCATGCTATAATATATTGTTCTCTTACAGACCACAAGAAGATCCCAGCATTTAAATGGGAAGATGAGGAGGAGGATTCAAAATCAAAACTATGACAGAAATCTGCCTGTAATCAAACAGAATACAGTGACGGTTGATAAAAAACTGAAATTATATTCACTGGATTAATTTACATATTTAATGCCCTCTGATGAAACATATATAACTTATGCATTGATTTTGTATGAAGAAACAATTGATAGAAAACTGAAATCATATTCATTGTACTAAAATTTAAAATGAAAACAGGAACAATGACATCTGATGAAACATATAATATGACTTACGTATTAATTTTGTATAAAGGAACAGTATGAATATACCTATTGGTTTTTCCAGAATTTTTTTTTCTATCATTTTATCATCAGTTTGGTGATGCTACTGGTGATGTGTTATACTAGACTATCGCTTGAGATACGCAGCCTTATAAGTTGTTCAATTCATTAAAGTAGTTTTCACTGTGGGCCCCGATGGATAGACTCATCTAATTTACTTTACAATAGACCGGTTTCAGCATCGGACCAAGATTATTTTCAGTCGCATATCTTTAAATTCAATTATAATGAACCAATAAAGATATTATTGCAGCTATTTCATGGACTGTGAAGTACTCTTTGGATAGTGTTTATGCGTTGGTGTGAGACAGAAGTGAGAAAATTATACAAAATTTACACCTTTTTATTGCAGATAAAAAACGCTATCGTACGATTTATAACATATGCACCCTGCAACAGAAAACATATTTGTACTCACTAGTGGCACGACGACAAATGATCCAGCAGTTGAAAGTTACACCAATCCTCCACTTGTAGTCAAATAACGTGATGTAAAATTTAAGAGGGCTATTTCAAAACTTGTTTTATTGTGCAACACATATAAGTATCTTATCCATTTTGTTTCTTAAATGTGCATATTTGGCGAGCACGTGTGTGAAATCATTGTAACTTAACTCGTCCAAATGCCCTCACTTAACGAAACACCTCATAATTTAAAGAAACACCTCATAATTTTGTTACATTGTTTCCCGAAAAATGATAATCAGCACAGATATTTTCTGCTATGACGATGTGTAGGCTCGTGATGAAGTTGATTTTTGGCGGAAAGAAAGCAATCGGACATTGTTTAGTTGAAGGGTGTTGCGCGTCTCTTTTGTTTATGACCTCCAAACGGTGAATCCAAGCGTCCAAATCACCAACGAACATTTTGGAACGATTGCTACTGAAAATCCAGGTCAACGTTTATCCTTCCTTCTTGGTAGGGCCAGCAGCTCGAAGTCGTTTAACATATTCTTCACCCCAGTCTCTCAGCAAACCCTACAAAAGACAAAAAAATATGACGGAAGATGACAAAAGCAGTGTGGCATGTGACGATCTGTTCAGGCCTCATTATTATATATTCACCATGGGATCATTTTAATGACGCATCTAATTAGTCTTTTATATTTTTATTTGTTTTAATTTTTGATGAAAAAAGGCGCATTGCTATCTTTGTCTTATAGATGAGTTCATTTTATCATAAAACTGAATATAATTTTCTTAAACTCACTTAAAAGACCGAAAGGTGAAATATTTTTATCTTTTATTTCCAGCTTTACCTCTGCATAATCTAAACTTTTCTTCAGTTTGGACAGTATGAATTTCATCTCTTCATCAGTGTACAGAAACTTTGATATTTCGTACGGTATTGGCTGAAAAAACACGCATTAAATTATACTTTACTAGTAAACATATATATAATAGCACTTTAATACTGTATGTATGTGCGTGTCATGTGAACGGAGACTGACATGCCTTTACACTACCCTCTACCAGGGCGACTAATAGATTTTTACGGATATTCACAGATATGTCTCTAGCTAGATAGATTGTCATTTTAACCTGTACAGAAATCTCAAGGTTGATTACATGGCTGGTAATTGTTTGCATAACTGCTCAGGCACTGCCACTTGGCAGGTCCAGTCCAAGTCTGCGTGACAGCAATCAAGACAGTTAATTGCTCTGACCTTAATCACTTGCTATTCTGACACAGATAAAAATAGCCCCCAGTGAATAGCCGGTACGTTTATTTAATACTTCAAGGTATGTGAGGAAACACCGGGCGTGATAGCCGCCATTTTTTTAAAGCGGCTCACTTCGGGAAACCCCTTCCAACCACGTGACTGGTTTTTGCAGACAGCAGAGCCTAGACAGGTTGCGTAACGTGCAGTTAGCACATCGTCGCGAAGCGAAGCTCAAGCAGAGCGAGAATAAAGCCCTCTGCGCGCGGGCAAAGATAATTGCTTTCAGATGGCATTTCTGTACAGGGTGACTTAGAGTTAAAATGACAATCTATCTAGCTAGAGACATATCTGTGAATATCCGTAAAAATCTATCAGTCGCCCTGGTAGAGGGTACCTTTACACTAATTTCAATATCCTGTGAATTCCGATTACGAAAATCCTGGTTTGACATATCCTACTATATGTACTGTTAATCTGGATTACCAAATGACCTTTTTAAATTCAAAATAAAGGCATCAACTTGAGGGAGGTCTGATCTTTTCCTCTTTTAATAAGTGTGTGTAAAATGAGTGTAAAAAAAGCAAGTAAGCAACCTAGCGTGAGTGTACTGCCATGGGGCCTACTCTTTACTAGAACGCATTACGTCACCAGTGCATGGTTACGCCACACCACATGAAGCTAATCAAACGATACTATCCCAGTAGAGGGAAAAGGTTGACTTCCTAACGGTTAGGGGTCACGAACACACGGTCTGCTCGTACTGTGCTAAGTAAGACCGTTACAACTTCAGTGGGAACACGACCTCGGATGTCAACTGTACTCACCAATGGTGTCTGTTTCCTCGGCACCGCCACCACGCGTATCAAATAGACTATAATAGTGGCCAGCAGCTTGAGGTTCCTCTCTCCGACCTCTGACAGGACAGTAGTGGACAAACCGTAGTCCAGGGGCTTCATCAGTAGCTGAAACAGCATTTAGAATTATTGGATGTCTTGACAAATACCTCTTATAATAAGTTAACAGAAAGTCGTGGTTTCCCATAAATTGACAAAATTTCATTAAAAATAATATCTGACATTTAACAAAGATATCAAGTTATATCATACATTGAAAGACTCTTTGATTTGCAAAAAGAAAAAGATAATCGAAGGTAATAAGGATTATGCAAACGCATAAAAGGCTGATCCTTTTTAGAGACCGTTTTTGTAATCTTGCCTACTGAAACAGCACTTGTGTTACAGGTGAGTTTACAAGCACTGAATATCACGGAACACATGAACGTTATGATCCCAGATTGAATATTTCCACTGTATTTATCTGACATATTAACAGTTCTTTAGCTTACCGTGGTCACTAAACTTCGAGACAAAAATATCCCAATCAACAGGAAGAACGCCCTTGCGTCTGTGACGTTGGTTATTTTATCATTTTCATCAAACTCCAATTGGTCCTAAAAATATCAATATAACGTCATTTTTTAAATATTAAAACAGTAGATGAAGATAGCTGTAGCGGTTTTTTATGGGGCTACCCATCTCGAGTCAAGCGATAGAACTCGGAGACTGCGCTTATCTATTCAGTTATATACGCCTTTTCTCACCCCTTTGGCAAACGTAAAACAGGAAAATTATAAAACATCGTTAATCGTACGGACTTTATTGAGGGTAAAACATGTGTACAATGATGCCCTGTGACAAACACGGATCTCCTAGAGCAATCCCCGTGTAATCTTACCCTTTCCATCTGCCAGAAATATCCGGCTGGAAACTCCTTGCCTTCTTTGATCAGTTCAAAGATGGCGGCTTTCTTGTGCGTCCCAAGCACACCAGTGGCAGGCTGGTGAAAAATAAAAAAAATTGTTTTTACATTGTTATCACGTATGATATTCCGTGGTTTTACTTTTCTTTTTTGCAAGTCAAAAGGAACTAAAAGAACTTCAAACGATAAACAAAATTGTGAGCATTTTAGCTAAATGTTATGAAATTTAGTTTCATGCTGAACAAAAATCTTCAGTAAATAGAAGTATGTTCTTTAAAATCTCATCAATCGACGACAGCATTTTCCCTAGTTTTCTCAAGTTTATCAAAAGACTGTATGCGTAAGGCATATACTCATGTCACTCACCATGATCTCCGTAATATGATAAGTCAAATTCTCCACAATGTAGGTGAGCTCCTGGATATTTTGCTTATCTTCAGGGCTAGTTCCAAACCGCCCTTTGTCCTCTACATATAGATCAGGTGCTCCCTCCCCGACCATATCACTAAGGATCAGGTAGATGTTACCGTCAGGCTGGGGTGGTATAAAAAGGAAAATAGTATGATTAAAAGAATGGTGGATATGAAAACATAATGTATTTTCTCCGGTTGAGGTGAAGGACTAAGCTGTTTTTGGGCTGTTCTGTAGCGATTACACACAGCGTGTGAAATACCTACAGGACCGATTTACAAAATCAGTAGGCCTATTTGCCTCACGTTTGACAATTATATGTCGTCCTTTTTAACTGTACTTTCATAAATAATACTTTGTCTAATTTGTATATTATGATGAAGGTTTGTGAAAGAACGTGGTATATACAAAATGAAGAAGAAACAGCTGGCATGCATTTGAGTAAGTGACTGCACTGTATATTACAATTTTAGCATGGCCAATTTGGCTACCCCTGCTAGCTTGTGTAATTTCTGCAAATGCGCGTGCGTGTATGGGTAAGCATGCTCTAACATATACTTACGTTGAGGTATATTCTATGTAAAGCCGCCACCGCCTCTTTCAGCTGAATGCCAAAGATGAACTTTTCATTGGGCTTGTTTCCTTTATTCTGAAATCGTAATGACAGGCACAAACAAAACATTCTTCGGTGATTTTTCGATAAAAAATACTGAAAACTGTTAATTCTAACACTAAAATATTTAATTGCTGGCTGTTTGGATAGATTTCACTTACAACGAGAGAGCACTCTGCGTAAATGTTGAAGTACAAGTAGAGTAGATGATAATTTTGTTGCGCTTTGACTCAATTTTCAAGAAGTCATTTTGAAGACGTGGCTTTTAATAAAACGGAATAAAATTAGGAAAAACGATAAAAATATCTCCAAACAGCTGCAGGCAATATAATAATAACAATAATGATAATCTTTGAAAAACCCCGCTTCGTCGAAGCACTGTCTACAATATTGATAAAGAAACTTAAAATTCTAATTCACACCATCTAAAATGATCAATTACACATTCTGCAATTCTACGGGATATCACCTTAAATCAGCAGTAAAACGTCGACAGGGAAATACATAATGCGGGTAAAATAAAACTACATTATTCCAAACAAGATCCTATTACACAATCAGCCACTATATATCCCACCATACAAACAGTACCTTTCGCATCTCGGCTCTGAGGAAAGCTATAAACCATGCAGCATAAAATATGTGGCGGAGTTTACGCAGGAGACCTAGGGTCAAAAATATTTAGGAATCAAGCAATGTAGAAATAATTTGATTCTGGTTTATTATTTATTGCAATTGATAATTGATATTACTATATACAAACTGGAGTACAGTAGTAATTAAGGTGCAAAAACTCGAAATGCTGTTTACGTAATGTCGTAATGCACGTGTGTGTGTGTGTGTGAGAGAGAGAGAGAGAGAGAGAGAGAGAGAGATTTTGGAGTTCATACTTACGGGAGCCAGGGAAAGGAATCTTACGAACAAGCTTAGGTTTGGGAGGTGGGGTTGGAGTTGCTGAAATATTAATATATTTTTCATCATTTGAAAAAAAATTTAAAGCTGTTTACAAGAAATATATCACCATATTATTAATTGCTATAAATTTTATGTGGTAAACAATATCTTCAAAGTAAAAGATAACCCGGGCATTTCTACTTTCAATATTTAACGTACATCGACAGAGATACTAATCCCGATCACTAGTTGGAGATCCGAGTCTTGTCTCTCCTTCAAAGTTCTAGGTATAAATATTTCAGTAATATAACATGCATAAGACAAAAGAAACGACTGTCATACTTACGTAATTGCACAGGGGTGGGAGGTTTAGAAGCTGGCCGAGGCCGATGAAGTACTGAAACATGCAGTTAAAACATGCACCATGCTAGCATATGAGGCAGCCTTGCTTGAATTTTAGTTAATTTAGATTATCACACAATAAGGCTATTTTTATGATTTATTTAAACATGCAAGGACGCTTGTGTAGCCATTAAACTTTATAGATACGCATGCTTTGTACGAATCGTAACTACCGTTAGTGTCGTATATAATTAAATTCATGGTCGTATTTCAGTTAAAGTGCAAAAGTGTATACATACATTTAATTAACAGTTAGTGGTTAACCTAACACATTAAAGAATTATTCATTCCAGTTCCAGGTGCGAATAAACGTTTTAAAACGAAATACATTTAAAGCGACGGAAAACACACGGCTGTTACACAAAAATAAACTAAAAGCACATAGTGTATAGCGCACTTTTTATTACGCAAAGACAAACAACATCAAACATCACACGCTACAAAATAAATAAGTTCTACTGGCATCTTAATTCATCACTTTATCTCATGAATTTGATGACCATTTGTTGTCACATTAAGAGTTCAAACGGAACATCATGCCTCGTATCATAATGACTTGGCTAAGGGGTAAAATGCGCCCTCTATGAGCGTGCTCTCAAACTGGATAAAGCTGATGATACCAGCGCGGCTGAATATTAGGGTAATACTGGTCAAATGTCAAGTTGGAATTCGGCAAATGTATCTCACCCTTGGGTTCCCTCATTTTCTTCGGTTTAGGCGGTGGTGTAACTGTTGACGGGGTTCTAGGAGGGGGAGGTAGGACACGCCTGGAAGAAAAGAAATCCCTCACTTTTACAGATATTGTAAATGTACCCTCTGATGTCAGGGGACTCTAAATTATTATACAAAATTAAAGTATTAGCTTTACTATAACAATTCTGTTACACACTACCGTACTAGCGCGCCCTGTGATCAGAGAGTATTTTCAATGATAGATGTCACATGTAAACTACACACGCACACAAGCGCAGTGAGAAGAAAAAGAAGAATCAAGAAGTTATAATGAGATCATTATAACTTCTTGGAAGAATAGAAAAAGAGAGGAGAGATGGGAGGGGTACTCACGTCTGTATAGGGGGTAGTTGTGTCACGTGGTGGATCACGGGTTGGGGTTGGGGCGGAGGTGGCGCCTCCTGTCTCAGGCTGTAGTGATGATGGTGAACTGACGCTGGTCTGTCATTCTTTACCTTGGGGAGAAATGTTCAATGAACATCTATTCTTATAAATATCTCATCTGTTTTTTTTTATTCAATTATTCACATTTTTGTGGATAGAATACAGCAAAATTCTTCCAGTCATAGCGTGCCATACTGACATGAACAAACAGACAAAATTTACAGTTTTCAATATTTACATACATGTATTGGTATCTCATCTTGAAAAAAATTATAACAATTGAATGAAATAAAAAAACATTTTCAGAACGGAAAAACTGCTTAAAGAAGAAACGTTTGATTCTTTTCGCGGACCAATGGCCACATGGACTAAACGACTCCCTAACTGTGAAAACAAAACGGAAGACAAGGACAATTTTACTGTAACGTACAGGGCATCTGAATGGAAAATGCTTGGTTTTTTCTCGCTTCATTCATTCCGCTTGTTTGTAAGAAAGGGAGGGGGAGGAAGGGATAACCCAGAGGTTACGGGAGGGGCACGTGGTCTCTGTGATCCCCTAGATCCGCCATAAATACAACTTACTGTTAAAATCTGTGGCTGTGGCGGTGGCTGGGGGTACTCCGGTGGGTAGAGGTTTAGAGGGACCGTAAACTGTGGGACTGACTGTTTTGTTGAAGAGTTACTTCCAGAGATACTTGACATCATCATTTGCTGCATCATCAGCTGGTGTAGCTGTGCGTTCTGCATCATCAACATTTCCATGAAATCTACGTAGAATATATAGTTAAGTCGACACGCGTTAGTGAAATCAGTGCAGTTACGGTAAACGCATTATTTCCTCTCCGGAATTATATGATATAATAGGTTTCCTTTCAATTTAGCAGAATAATAATAATAATAAAATAATAATAATAATAATAATAATAATAAATTAATCATAATAATAATAAATTAATAATATCACATATTCCAAAGACCTGAAATATTTCACAGATAACGTGATAATTCCTCAGACCCACCTCCTTTATTAGTCTTGGTGCTGGTGTCGGCTGGGAAGGGTCCCTGTTGTATCACCTGGGACGGAAACTGTGGTGGCAGCGGTGGGATGTACGGCTGAGGAGGAGGAGGTGGCGGCTGCGGTGGGTTTTCTATGGGTCGTAGCCTCGGAGTCACAGGACTTATGGGTTTTACCTGGTGCTCAATTATGTGTTTCGTGGAATAATCTGATAAAATAGGGTTTCTGTCAATTAGCAGAGCAGAGTGTGATTTATGTTATCAAATACTGAACTTTGGAGTAATAAAACAAGATTTATGAAGCCGATTCTGATATTACCTTTCTCCATACCCGTAGGCATTAAAAGGTTTCGATTGAACACAATATTATCACATTAAGATTCTGAGTGCTCTTTATCTCGATAAAATAAAACGATTCTGATTTTTAAAAATACGCTATCAGCCTACATAGTACATGCTAGTTAACAGATATCATATCTAAGAAATTTCTCACCCGGTAACGACCGTCGCGATGGTGGCGGTGAAGGTGGCTTTCTCTTCTTACCACCGTCTGACTTTGGTCGACGTAATCGCTCATTTTCTTGCTGCAAAAAAGGGCATTTCAATAATGGAAATTCTCATATTTTGTCTTTTCTTTTTTAAAATAATACGCTTGTTACCAAACAAACAAACAATTAAATAAATAAATAAATAACAGTAAGGGTGTTATTACCCTGATTCTGTCCAGAAGTTCCTGCCTCCGTAGAACAGCTTGCTGTAGTCTGAAATGATGGTCCTTGTCTGTGGGACCGTCCTCTGAAACAGGCCAAATAATACCATATCTAATATATTATTTATTTCTTAAAGAAAAACTACTTGCTTATATAGTCAAACTGGTTATTAATTACGCTTTTACGGTAGTGCAATATAAAAAGTTTCATATCGCTCTCTACAACATGTGTTGGGACGAATTTTTAGAAGAAATACTTTCGTGGAAAAATATTAGAAACAAATTTTAAGACAAAACGATACCTTGGGGCGATGGAGATCTCACCGCCTTGCCCTTAGCCCTGGCCAGTTTCTGAAAGTTGTATGGAATTGTGTGATAAGATGTGCAACTATCTGAGATAATGTAGCTCTGTTTGTCAAGAAGAACATCTCATTATTTAAGACACAATGGTAACATTTCAGAGTGTAGGAAGATGCGTGCACAGATATGACAAATCCTGAAGAATTGTTATGGGTTTTCATTTAATTTACTTACAGGGATCAGACATCTATTTTTCCGTCTGTTGGTCTATCCATCCATCTGTTCATCTATCTATCTATCTATCTNTGTATCTCCGTCTGTCTGTTAATCAGAAGCATAAATAATAATACCACTAGAAGTTCTTTTTTAATTCAAAACGGTCAAATATTTTTCCTTGTTCAGGATCACCTGTCACTTGTGTCGAAATACCAGTACAAGCAGTGACGTGTATCTTAGTATAATCCCCGCGTTGGAAATATCCAAACTTTATATTGATACCTGTGAGTTATCTTCATATTACATGACTTATCTTTCGGTTATGATATACAGTGTGTGTGTGTGTTGTCTGAACTGTGATGTTTTTACCATAGCGACTTGTGTATAACATAATAAGACATTCAAACATCTACGGGAGGCACTGCAGTAAAATATCGTGATAGGTCAGGAGTTTGGAGGGGAAGTTTGGGTCGTGGTGGTCATTTGGTCCCATTTAGAACCGGTCAGTTTACAAACTTCGATCTAAATCATTAAAATTTTCTTGAGGGAGGTAATAGTCGAGGCGTTTTATAGGGGAAGCCTTTTCTGTTAAATATTTTGATAGATTTTTTGATTGCTTATTCAAAGGTAAAAAAATCATTAAAAAACAAATTAAAAAGTATGACATTACGCACGTCAACCCCTATACTGAAATCGACGAGGGGATTTGGTTAACTAAATTTTGATATACTAGTTCAGCTGAATAACCCACGTATCTTCTTTACTCAAACACTTACATTAGTGATTAAACTGATTAAAGATAGGGCGGGGAGATGACAGGTTATTTAAACAGGTATACACTTCACTCTACAGTCAATAATCCACAGATATCACTTTTTTTCTAGCCTACTTTGCCCTTGTCTGGTATCCTGACTTATACCACGTAGCATGAAAACTTATGTACAAATGACCCACAAATAGTACATGTCAGAGGCCGTAAATAGGAGTGCCAACGCGTGAATTGTCGTGCTATTTGAAGGAGGTCACTGATGAACACTTATTTCTATATTAGGGGGAGAGGGGGGGGGGTCCAGTAACATGCGCTGAAATTTGGGGGGCTGTTTGGAGACAGCTAGGTCTGTACAGTGGTCACATCTTATGATACTTCTTTAGAAATACGAAATATATGAATGAAATATTGGAATACAACCATCAGGTTTATCTAAACAGTACCTGCCAATTGTTCATATTGAGAGGTGTTTTGCTTTGGTCCCAGCTGTTCAGTTAAATAAGACACCCCCTATTCCATGCATTTTAAGGCGGTTGGGGTTAATCAAGAATAAATCAAAACCTTTTCACGCCAACTCTCACACAGTAACCGTCCATTTAATTTATTTAAGAAGATATGGTGTATGGATTAAGAAATTTTGGTGACTTCTTTCAAAGTTTTTCTTACCTGTTGCACCATTTTCAGCCTGAGTCTTGCGATATGTTCGTGAATGTTATTATCCGTTGCCGCCATTGTTTGTTATTTCACTTAACCTCAGCTACCAAGTTGAAAGTATAGCAACGTCCTGTATTTTAAGTCCTCTCTGGAATTCTACTGGCACATGATCGTTCTGGCTTAAATTAGCCTAGACGTGTTGAACTGACAAGCTTTTCAATCGGCCTAATATTCCTTATCAGATCATCATTACGTCACAACTTCAAGTCAGGTATGCAGAATTTTCTTGTCACAGTCCTAAGAGAGAGCTCTCTCTACGCCATACTGCAAGCAAGGTTCTGGTGGAATCTGAAGCACTCCTGCTTTGCCCACAAAGACGTTGCGGTTACTAGAACTGCGTTTTGGTGCTTTGACTTATTACTAAAACAAAGCCCTCGACCTAGTTACTTAGGTGGAAATACGCACGAGGAGCGCGTTATGGAAACAAAAGTTTTGCATGGCAACCGCGGTAGTGCTGTTTAAATTCTAGTAAGCGCTTAATGGGCATTAAGTCATAGTTTATCAACTTGAGAAGTTGAAACGTATCTGTTGAAGGCTGGGTGAAAGAGGTCACTGATACAAGGTTTTCTTTAATCTCTGAGGGAGAGGGGGAGAAAAATATAATATAGTTCAATGTGTTGATTAGTTTTCTTTTTTTTTTTTTCAGTGGCCAATGCTTCGTTTGAAGGTTAAAGTCCAAAAAATGTTCCATTAATGTCTCGTATTTTGGAGCAACAGTTGAATTCATTTTGCCGGACCAAAATATTCATCAATTCCCATCAAGAGCGTAGTTGTTTTATTTCGTTGATTTCGATATTTTTCTTTTCTTTTAAACTTCTTCACTTGAGATCCTTTATATGATGATGCCAATCCACAATATGATCGGCGAGTGGAGATTGCCTGTAAATCTACATGAGCACACGTGCTGCCGACTGCGCCGTGATTTTATATATATATAAATTGAGATTGTGCTCCCAGCTGTCCCAGCACCGACCCACCGAGTTGTTAAGTGCCAGTACATTGTCTAAACTAACACATTCTGTAGTGTGATAACAGCTTTCATATATTTCTATCTGAATTTTCATATTTATTATTAACATTCGATAGCAATTTTGCTCAGTATTTTTTGTCAATTCTAGCAGGCAGATGTTTCAAGAGGAATTCTTTCGTTTCTGGAAGTCTGACTGCGTGTTTTTGTTTAATTAATTTCTCCTTGCACAATTTAATTCTCAATTTGACTCCACTGTTTTTGTATTGCAAATCTAACACAAATTACTATTCATCAACAATGTGCCATACATAATTAAATAATAAATGCTGAAAGCAAGACATCAAAGATATACAAGTGATGTTAATTAAAGTTTATTCTGATATCAAAACAAATGTACAAAACTGGCTGTTTCTGTGCCAATCTACCCTTACATACATACATACATAATATAATTTTTATATATAGATACATAAGTATCCTATATAGTGTTCAATACTAAGACAGACATTTGGAATATAATAAATAAATTAATTGTACTATCAGTTTTTATGTTGCAGGTATTGTATAGCAATTATTACAATGATAAATATATCTGCTTATGATATGTGTTTTCAACATTCACATTGACAGCTATGTGGTAAGAAGAATATGCTGTAAAATATATTAAAACTTTCATAAAATACTTTTAAAGGCATGTATAAAATTATACAGTTACTTATGATACATTTCTCTCTTAAATATGCAGATGAAAAGTATCTAAAATAGGAAACAAGAGTACTTATTGCTCTGCATAATTTTTTAATGCCCTGCATTTGGTAACACTAAAATCATCATGTTTCATATAATGAAATGACAAAAAAAAACAAAAAAAAAAAAAAAAACTATAAATATTCAAAAGTAATTACTGGACATTCTGTGGACCTGTCAATTTCACATCATGTTTACTACTTCCAGTTAACATGCAACTGCACACAAAATGAAGGGCTCTCTTATTGGCATAGAAGTTCATGAATGCGCTAGTTGAGACAAATCACCACCATATCTCAACCAAACACAATGCAGCTATCTCACCTCTCCCAGTGCTTGTCTTCTTCCAGTATGCAGGATATTTTAGATATTTCCATTTGTGTCATCACAATGATAAAAGTGTCTTATGAAACATTCCTTACACACAATGCCAGCATTTGTGATCATATTCAACCATTTTATTTGTTAAACAGATCCACCTCAGGGGTGTCAAGAAGGACTTTACGCCCAATGCATTACAGAATACATATGATCTACCACACACAATAAAACGCCTTTATGCAGGCAAATCCTTATTCAAACTAGAGCCTTTATTGGAAACCAGTCTTTTTGGTATTTAAGTATGCAATAGAACTGCAACAACGACCCCCTGTGCTTTTGCCCTTCTGTTGGTGTTTGGGGCAACTGTACTTTGAATAAAAACACTTGGGGTTAGCAAATGCCTACTTATAATCCTTATTACGTAGTTATCAGCATAGAAATAACAGATATTCCAATTTAAAGTCATAATCAGTTACCTGCAATTGGGAGTAAAGAAGTTTGGATTCTTAAGGTCATTCTGACTTTTTAAAGACATTTAATTTAGATTTCACCAAACTCATGAATGGTATTAAGACTCTATTAAGTTTTTTTATTTTTTTTAGACTAGGTAGTATATCATCAAAACAGTATTTGGCAGAAATGTAAAATAACAGAATGAACCAGTACTCCTCATGGCATTTCTTGTGCAAATGTAGCCCTTGTAAAATGTATCTGATATGCAGGCCTTTACTTATGCTGCTATAAAATGAGTTGTGCAATCATTTACAGTGCAGTTTTATCACAACAATAATGATATTGTAAAGGGACTCCATTAGAATATAGTCTTATATAGGGGACTTAAATGTGCAAAAAATATCTGCACCTTTGTATAAAGTATTTAAAAATATAAAAGTCCTCATCAGTTTTTTTTTTTTTTAACACAAGTTCTTTGGAACAAACCATACTGCAAGAGCAAACCCAGAAACTGCTTCTAGGGCAGGACTGTCTGTCCAGGGGGGGAGGGGGGAGGAGGAGGGGACTGATCCAGTAAACTAGATAACCCACATATAAACAGGACTTAAAGATATTACATACCNGGGGGGGGACGAGGAGGGGACTGATCCAGTAAAACACGGGTAGAAACAACTAGATAACCCATGTGTAAACACAACTTAAAGATATTACATACCATGACTCTTTCTACACTATATTACATGACATGAACACTATCAACAGCCTCTGGCTGGGTGCTACCATATAATAAAATCAATGTACAGTTGTAGCTATATTACATATCACATAAAGGAAATATAAATAAACTAAACCTTTACTTATATAAATGCATAATTTCTCCTTTTATTCTACAACATCCATCTGTGTGGATCAAAAGATGACGATGGCATTGCATAGCCTGTGTGATATAAATTACGTCCTTCCTTCTTAAAGTTTATGACTCGGTATTTCAGGTATGAAAAACAAACCCTCCTTGCCTGAGAAGTATCAATCCCCAATCCCATTTTAAAGGTGTTCAGTGAGGAATACATCCAAACATTTGAACTGGGTCTTTCTGCGGTAATTGGTGAATCCCTGGGGGTCAACCCCTGGGGTTCTGCTGACCAGGGCTTACATTTTTAATTAATAATATGCCATGTGTACTAACAGGCTGGTACATTTGGTTTTTTCCCAACCAAGGTCTTAAGGGTTTTGTGATGGCTTCACATCTTCAGAATCAAGACGATTAATCCAGAAACCCATTCAAGAACATGTCTGAATTAACCTCACATTATCATAGATACTTTCAACAATTATTTTCCACGTACAATTCTGACCCTGGAATCACACATTTTAATCCACCAAAGAACACAAGCATCAACTTGTATACAAAGGAATGAAATATGATGTAAGCGGCTTTGAAGCCTACAGACACACGGTGTCATGAACCTGTAGTGTTGTGTATTCCTTTGAAAAATGGAGATACCCAGTGAAATGTGGATGGCTCACATTACTGTCAGTAGAATCCAGGATTTGTATGCTCAATGATACATCGCTTGCACAATTTTTTCACCGTCCTATAAGCATCCACCGTAATATGGCAGTCTTGGATGTTCAGCTGCTGCAAATGGCGGCACTTTTGAGCAATAGCAACAACCCCGCTGTCAGTAATGGCATCACACGATTTGAGACTGAGTTTCTTAAGCTGAGGGCAATGTTCTGCTAGGATCTCTAGGCCTTCGTCGGTTACATCACACTTTCCGACGTCAAGAGATTTCAGTCTCCTACAATTCTCTGCCAGTAGTTGGAGGGCATCGTCAGAAACTGCTTCGCACCCACGAACATTCAGGTAGCGAAGCTTCTTGCAGTACTTGGCGATGTATTTGACACCTACATCCGACACTTTATCACACTTTGCAACACTGAGATAGCGTAAACTTGATCCCAGCTTGGAAAGTTCCCTTAATCCAAAATCAGTCACCCTGCGACAGTCGCTAACACTGAACTCCTTGAGCATTGTGCAATAAAGTGCTATGGCTTGGACGCCAATGTCTGTAATCCGCATGCAGCGTCGTAAGTACATGTACTGTAGCTGCGTGCAGTGGGAGGCAATGATCTTGAGTCCAGAGTCTTCCAGGGCGTAACAGTCCGTCATGTCAAGATGGCGGAGGTAGATAGTACAAGGGTTCTGGCCATATTGCAGCTTGGCGTCTGGTGTCAGACTAATACATGTGATCAGGGCACAACCTGGAAATTCATGTCAGAGGATCTTCTTTAATTTTGTGAATAATTATGGCAATAAGAGAAATATGATTATTTTAAAATAAATTGAAAATGTTGCATTTCTAAAGAGGTTTCATCATTCAATTAGACAAACAAAATCTACAGCTAAAACTTTTTTTCCTGAGTAAATATGTAAAGAATTTGAGTCTTTAAAATTACATTTAAAAAACGTGTGAAATGGATAGCATAATGTTAAAATTTTACAAGGAAAAATAATAAAAAGAAACTTGTAAATGTTATCAGTAACTTAAAAATACTAAAAACAATACATGAGTATGTAATTGTATATACTGTATATC